TTTCGTCGCCCGCGCGCGCGGGCAAATTCGAGAGAAACGAAGTCCAGAGTGCGTAACATGAGGGAAAAACGTAAAATAAAAAAAAGAAAAAAGAAAAACGAAGAGAATACTCGCCAGTGTCTCGCTTCTACACCTTTTTTTTTTTTCTCTGTTGTTGCTTCCCTAGCGGTATTGCTCTCTCTTGTTACTACGCGTTTTCGCTTCCGCCCCCAGCCCCCCCCCCTGAGGCAGAAGGAGGTTGCCACGTTTCTGGCGATCGCAGGAAAATAAATAAATAAATAAACAGCGGCGCAATGTTCTCCAGAGGGCAGCTTTACTTCCCCTACACACTTACGCAAACGCACGAGCTGCCGTGCAGCAGCAGCAGCAGCAGCAGCAGCAGCAATAGCCGGCGCCGCCGCCGCCGCATCATCATCATTTAGCTCCCTACTACGGAAACACTGACGGATGTTTGCCGCAGCAGGATGGAGCTCTCTGGGGAGGGCACATGGCCGCTGCTGCTTTCGTCAAACAGCACACGTGGAAGTACCGTGTCGGCGCGCAACACGCCGTTCTTTGCGGACGAGACCACAGCTCTCGGAAACGCCCACAAACTGTTTACCATTGAGTTATGCACATTAAACCGTGCAAATAACACCTGCCGCGTGGTATCAAACAGCTGCACCAGTCCATCTCGGTAGCCAATGGCGAGGTAGTGCGCCTCTGCACAAAAGTTGGCGGTACAGGCGGCAGGAGAGGAAGCCGGCGCGTAGGAAATACTGCTGCCCAAGGTGGCGGAGTCAAAGCAAAAGCTGCGTGAGCGACTCCGTCGAGGGCTTGCTTGACAGTTCCACACAGACCCGTTGTGGAGGACGCGGTACAGGTACTTCCCCTCATCGTCAATGATGTCCACAACGGGGTTGTCGCGCAGTATGGCCATTGCCATCTCACCCTGCCCAATGGCCTCCAGCGTCAGCACCTCGTCTCCCTCGGCAAAGAGTGCCCCCGAGAAGTTAAAAGCCTCCTTTTCACAGAAGAGGCGGCGGTTCACCGGGGAGTCATGTTCGATGCCAAACGTGAGCTGGTAGAGCGCGGTCCCCTCCGCGTAGGTCAGCGTCAAGGTCAACCCCCAGCTTCCGCCGGGCGTGGGCTTCAAAACGTAGTTGCTGGGGAAGATCGAAAAGCCCATGGACTCCTTCTGGAACACGTTGCTCAGCAGCGGTGACACCAGCGTGCGCAGAAAGACGGGCGTCGTTTTTCGAACGGAGTCCCCCATGTACTGCAGCATCGTGCCATCCCGCAGCTGCACAATGACCGTGTAGTCGTACGTTTCATGGGCGCTGAGGGGGAAGATGGTGCTGCGCAGGGGGTACATCTGCGTCAGTGTCTGAATCGGGAAGGACAAGTCCGCGGCTAGCGGATCCGCTACCAAAAATGCCCCCTCCTCCGAAAAGAGGCTCTGCTGCAAATTCACCACGAGCAACCGGGTATCCGGCTCACTGGAGGAAAAGCTGCGTGGAAAGTACGGCGAAACGTCTCTCTCCTCCAGCTTGTGGAACGACGAGGTGTGCGGCTCACTCATGACGCATTCGAAGATCGCCACACTTCCGTTTTCGCAGCCCACCAAAACTTTCATGGTGGACGCCACCCACCGCAGGGCGGTGACTACGTGCGGCGTCTTCAGCTCCTGCTCCCGGGGGAACGGGATGAGGTCGACGGGGTCGAAGAGGCAGATGCCGCCGGTTTCCTCCATCGGCGCGAGAATAGCCCCGCCACCCGGCATGGAATCCACCGAGTGGGTGTTCAAGCCGCGCATCCAGCGACCGCCGCGGGCGCGTGTGTGGTCGAGAAACACCACCGTCCCATCGGCGCCGGCGCAGATGAGCCGGTCGAAGGTAAAGTCATCGTGCAGCTGCAGAAACAAGCCCATAATGCCGCTGGAGTGGGGATAAAACGAGGAGAGCAGGGTCGGTTGGCCGTGTCCCTCCAAAAAGTCACTGTACGAAAAAATTTGCACGCACCCCGTATCAACCCCAACGATGGCATTTTTGGCGTAGGAATCAAGAACAACGAGACGAACACCGTAGGACACCAACGGGGCCACGTGGCCCCGCGACCGCAGCAGCAGGAAGGCACCATCGAATGTGCTGCAGCTTAGAACGACGTCGTTGTCGCTGCAGAGGTCCGTGATGTGCGCTCTGTGTACCTTGGTTCCCCACTTGGGTGTCAAGGGCACCGCCGCGCTTGTGTCCAGTGCCCATTCCTTAATAAACCCATTGTTGTAGCCAATTAAGAGTGAGGAGACGGGCGGGGGCGTGGATGCGGTGGCGCATATGATGCGACTGGGATCCTGCGTCCAACGCACCACGGTGACGGTGGCGCCGGCCTCCTTGTGCCGCTGCACCTCCGTCCCTGTCTCCGCGTCCCACAGCGCCATGGCCTCGTCGGAGGAGCTGCCCAGGACCATTCCGCGCGAGTAGACCCAGACTAGCGCGGTGCCGTTGAGCGCGATGCGTTGCAGGGGCCCTGTGACGCTCTTTTGCAGGTCCCAGATGTGCAGGGTGTGATCCACGCTGGCCGTCGCAAACCGTGAGTCGTTCTCGTCACTCACCGCGATGGAAGTCACGCGTCCCTCGTGGGAGCAGAGCCGCCGCACGAGCGTGAGCGACTTGGTGTCCCACACGTGCACCTGCGTGTCGGCGTCGGTGTCGCCGCGCCCGTTCTCCACCCGCACGTAGATGTACGTCGCCGTGACGACGCACTGCACGACGGAGCCGCCGTGGTGGTCGCACATCGCCACCACCTCCAGCGTGTCCGCGTCCCAGACGAGCAGCCGCCCGTGTTTGTGCAGCGAAATCAGAACCAGCGGCTTCTCCGCCTCACATTTCCCTTGTTTTCCCTTGAGGCTCAGCTCCCGCACCCCGCGCGCCCCCGCCGTGACGGACGCCGGCTGCAGCGAAAGCGGGCTGATCAGGCGCGGCCGGTCCACGCTGACGTCGCCGGCGTAGCACTCGAGCCCGTTGATGGCAAACGGAATGGAGACCAGCCGCATGTTGCAGGCGGCGAGCAACTTCGCTTCCATTGCCGCTTTGTTTTAAAGCAATTCCACAGACTTTCGGAAGGTGCAACGGGACACAGACACACAAGCGAGAGAGCGAGACGGCAGCAACACATGAAATCCAGAAAGAAGCTTCTCGGCGGAAATCCAAAACGAGCGAGAGGAGGAGATGCCACAGCAAAAAAAAAAGAAATAACGACGGATATATATTTATATATGCTTGTGTTTGTGGCTTATCAACTGCTCACTTCAGAGGGGGCGTCTGAGCGCGTGAAGGCGCCGCTGGAGTCCACGCCGGAGGTATTCAGGTCCCGCAGGAGGCGGGTGACCGTCGGTGCCGCAGGGACCTGACTCAGCGCCTCGACGGTGAGCGGCTGGCCGTGGCCCTCAACGCCTGCGTGCTGGCGCTGAGTTGCCCCTTCCGGCGGGGGCGGCGCGGCGAGCCACCTTGCCGCCTCGCTCGCGCGCAGCAGTACGACACGGTACAAGCCCTCGTGCTTCACAACCAGAGAGGTCGGTTCGGTCGCCATGGAGTCGCTCCACACCATGCAGGGCTTACCCGCAACGACGTACTCGGTGCGGTACCCGGCGTCCTCCGCGCCGCCCTCGTTGCTGCGCTTTGGCAAACGTTGCCGCGTGACCTCGAAAATGGCCGGCACCGTTGGGCCTTCTAGAAAGCTCTCTGTTGCGTAGTTTTCCATGGGAATGTGCTGCACAGCAAACTGAGAACGCAACCGTTGCTTTTGTGTTCCCTTGTTTCTGTGCCCTGGTGGGACACCATCAATGCGGTACAGGAGCTGCCTCGCCCGGGTGTAGATCGACCGCAGCGGGTGATGCCAGACCTCCGTTTGCGGCTGCGTGGCGAACAGGCGCCCGTCCATGCCCGCGGGTGCCGTGCGCTCGAGCCCCTGCGCCTCATGCGGGAGCGGGAAAAACATGTCCCCGCCCCCCGGGCGCCGCGACAGCAGCAGCGGGACCCCGTTGACGTGAATCCGCGCGTACCCCGCGGGGTCCATCTCCGGTGCGTTTTGCAGCGTGCAGTCGATGTCCGGCTCACCCATCCACGACGCAATCCGCCGGTGCTCCGCGGAGGCGCAGTGGTGGTGGGCGTCCTCAAGCATGGCGAGGGTCGCGGCGGAGCTCGACGTCTGCGTCAGCCGCAGCTCACAGGGCACACACATGTAGTAGTACGGGGCACGGGCCCCCTCCGCCCCGGGCTCCAGCGCGGACCGCAGTGAGGCGGCCGCGGAGGCATCGTCATCGTGCACCGGGCGCGCCTCCGGCTCCTCGCGGCACCGCCGGACGCCGTGCTGCTCGAGGCGGGCCAACAGCTGCTCAAAAAAGTTTGCCGCCACCCCCTCGCCGACGTCGACGATCCTGTCAGCCAGCACCTCCGTCTGCGTGATGGCTGAGCGCGACATCGCCATGGCGCCGGACCGCAGCTGCCGCGAGAGGCGGCTGACGCGGTCGGCGCTTGACTCCTGCTGCTCAGAGGAGGCCCGGAACGACATCACCCCGCCCGCCTTCCGCGGAGAGAGGCACTCAAGCAGGCGGCAGCGACAAGACTGCAGGCAGGTTCCATCCACTGTGGGGCTGCCTGAGAGTGCGGCTGCGGCTCTTTTTTAATTGCTTGCAGCCCTTGCGACTACGAGAGGGCGGAAGGAACGCGTGTGAAGCCGCACGCAAAGACGGGGAGGGGGGGGTGGAAAAAAAGCAAACAAAAAAGCATGGTAGACAAACGCACAGCAGCCCGCTCCCTGAACTACACTTTCCTTCCCACTCCTTCTTCTTCCGCTTCCTCCTCCCTTTTTTTTTTGCGAGCAAATGAGCTCCTTTCAATTATCAACGCCAACGACGGCCGCCGCGGCCTGCTCGCAGAAGAGCTCATTGATCGGTCCTGGGCTCACCACGAGCGAGACGGAAAAGGGGAGATTGGTGGTGATCTCGAGGATGCTGCCGCGGTCCAGCAGAGGCGGCGCTTGGTCGCCCCCGCCCCCGTCCCCGCACGAGAAGAGGCGGGGAATGAGCGCAAGTGCCGTCACCTCCGCTCCCTGCGCATCCTTGCACACCGGGGTCGAGAGACTCGCGACGTAGTCCGCCTTCATTGCCTGCATCTTCTCCCTTACACCCGCCGCGGCGTCGTCAAGCTCCGCCTGCCAGGTGCCGTGGTACAGCATGTGCTCAAGCATCAGCAGGAAGGAGAGCATGTGAACAATGGCGTTGGACGAGAAGGCAAGTGGCTCGGCCGCGGGGTGGCGCAAAAGCGTCTCTCGCTGCGCCGCCGCAATGCCCACAGCCAGCGTCGCGATTTGGCGACAACACGGGTAGACCGCCTCGAGGCGCCGCTGCATCGTGGCCAGGGAGACGGTGTCCAGGTTGACGTCCACCCACGGAAACACCGCCTCCGCGGAGCTGCGCCACGCGAGCGGGACGTAGGAGGGGCACCGCCGCCCACCCCCGTCAGCCGCGAGGACCGCCTCGTAAAACTCGGCCGTCAGTTGTGCCAAGAGCGGCAGCAGGGCGCCGACGATGCCTCTGCACCACACGGTTTCCGCCCAGGCGGCATCGGGCGGCTTCAGGCGTGAAAAATGGTACAGGGAGCGGGCCACGTCGAAGAGAACGGAGGCGCCCGCCTCTCGCAGCGCCGGCGACACCGTCAACGCCGACTCCGTGCCGCCGAATATGCGGCGCACGGCGCCCGAGGAGGGAGCCGCGCTCAGCAGCACCGTGGCACGCAGCAGCTTCGCAGATGGCAGCGGGCACGCTAACACCAAGGCCGGGGCTTCCGCCTCCTCACGGCCGAGAGCGACTTTATCCAAAATTTGTCCCCCAACGCGGGAACACAACTCCACACCGTCCACTTCCGCCACCGTGGCCAGCGCGTTCATCAACGAGGTGGCCTCCTCCACGGTCATGGTGTCCAGCGTGGGGAGGAGGCAAAGAAGGTAATTCACAAAACCCTTGCAACTCTTTACACGGAACGCCGTGAGAAGGCTGGCCAGGGTCAGAAGCCGATCATAGGGAATGTACACCCCAGTGTTTTTTGACCCCCTCTCCAGGAGCTGGTTGATGGCCACAACCGCAGCCTTCAACGACGACGAAAACTCGGCGGAGCCTTCCACACGGCGGAGCGCCTGAATAAACCGCACAAGATCGGTGAAATGGAGCGTATTCATGTCCTTCACAATTGCCTGTGTGACGAGTTGGCGGCGACGCTGCTGCAGCGCCCTAGGAATTGGCACATCCTCTATGATGTAAAGGAGCTTTGTGAGGTCGATGGATGGGACGTCAAAGCGAGGCTCCTTCCAGTTTTCACCCCCAATAGCCGTGTGCTGCTGCTGCTGCTGCTGCTGTTCAACTGGGGCAAAAACGTGATTCAACCCGAGTGCCGCCATGTCATCGGTGTCAACGGTGTCAGAGAGACCGCGTCGGGCGTCGCGCCGGGGTAGCCGCTGTGCGTCCACGGCCTGCAGCACGGAGGGGTGCCGCTCCAGGCCCTTCATAGTCTTAAACTCAGGCGGGAAGTGCACCATGGCGCGCGTGAAGTTGATCCAGTGCCCCCCACGGAGAACCTCACTGTTGTCAATAATAAACACCGTCAGACTCGTCCGCAGCTGCTGGATGCTTTCAACGGGAAGCGGGTAAATCGACCCCTTCGCCGCGTCCAACCGCTGTTGCTCGACCACGCCGCGAACCGCCTTGGAGAGCACGCGCAGGAGACGCACGGCATCAAATACGTTGCAGTTTTTGTTCAAACGGTTTGTGTACCCCACCCCGCCGTCGAAGGTTAGCGTCCACGTCTCTCCGCAGTACAGGGGCACTATGTAGGCGACCACCTCCAGGTACATTCTCTCCTCCGCCAAGGCAAACATGGCCCGCCCCACTTCCTTAAGGAGGTGAAAGTCTAGACGCGCCGCCAGCGCGGCGTAGACGGCGGAGTCCCGCACCCCAGCGCGGCAGAGATGCTCAATCACCCGACTAGCCTGGTTGGGGGTCATCTTTTGAAGAAACTGCATGCGTTCGTGGTCGTGCTTGACGCAGTCCACGAGGGTGTTGACGTAGGCGCCGCCAGGGCGGGCACGCAGCACAACGGCGGCAAAGGCAGCGTCGCGGAGCAGCTGGCTCATAGAGCGACGCAACTCGGCGCTGTCATGGCGGCGATCCACGACGGTTCCACGCAGCAGCGGCATGACGTCGGTTCGCAGGAACTGCCTAAGAACGTCCGCCGGGACGGGCTGCTTTTGCGCTCGCAGGTCCAATAACGCATTGAGCCTCCCAGCTGCGGCAGAGAGAGCGGCGTATTGCACGAGGCAGCGTGGCAGCCAACACCGCCGCAGCATCTCACAGACACACACGCACACGCGCCTGCTGCTTCACCCACACCCTCTTTTCTTTAAAAAGATAAAAGAGAGAAACAAAAAAAAAGGCTATTATTCTTGTGGATGCCGCTCCGCTGTAAAAGCTACGCCTTCCTCTTCTGCTTCATGTGTTGCGCACGGTGGCGGGAAGGTGGGCGGGGCGGGGGGGGGAGAAGAAGAAAAGAAACTTGATTGGGACTGCAAGGCGCAAACACGCACGACAAAGACTCTCCACCATCTCCACCCGCATGCAAGCAGGCGAGAGATCCCAGCTGCGTGGTAGGAGCTGCAGGCACAGGGACGGCACACACGCAGGAGCTCCAGTGCCTTGATGCGCCCCATTTACTTTTCCCGACGTTGTCCTCGTGCCACACACGCACAGAGATATAGAGAGAGATAGCGACGCACATCAACTCACACGGTGATATCAACAGTGACGCGAGGGTGAGAGACACAGAGAGACGTCAAACGGCAACAGCAACAGCAACAACAACGGGAACTATCGTTTCGTTTAATAATGTCATTCCCCTTTATTTTTCTTTTAAACATATATATATATATATATATATTTGTTGTCGGTGCCGTTTTTATCCGCCGTTTCACCCCCAAAGTATTGCTCCTCACACACAGACACAGACGCATGTGGGTCTGGGTTGGGTGGCGGCACCCCCCCCCCTCTCAAAGGTTACAACCGGAGCTTCTCAACGCAGCGCTTCAGCTTCGCGAGGCGCCGCAGCAGGCGGCCGCGGTCGTGCCGGAGCAGCCAGTCCCAGGCATCGGAGATCGTCGCGACGCTCCACCGTGGGCCGCCGCCCTCCGCCCTCGCGGCCTCGAACTCCAGCACCTCCTCCCTGTAGTTGGCGTCGTGGTCGTCGGCGAGGGACCACTCCGTGCGGCCGTCCGCGTTGGGCGCGGGGGAGCGGCACACGCGCAGGAGTGGGGCGTAGCGCAGGAACGTCCACCAGAGCGTTTCAAACTCCGTCGCCTCCGGGTGACGCCGCGGGCGCTTGCCAATCATCAGGTCGCCGCGCCGCGGCCGCACCAGCCGCTGCAGTCGCATCTCCACTCGCATGGCGAACTCGCGGCCGGGGGTGGTCGTGACTTTTTCCTCGTGCCTGCCGGAGGCCATCTTGGGGAGCCCCGTGAAGGTGTGGAACTCGGAGAAGCGAGAGCCGGCGCCGGGGCCCGGCCGCCCCCCGCAACTACCGCCGCCCCCAACATCGTCGTCGTCGTCGCCGCGCTGGAGGAGAACTGCCCTGCCGCCGTATTGGAAGCGAAAGGGGATGTTTTCCGTCATAAACCGCGCCGTCGGGCGTTTGCTCTTTAGGTGGCAGCGGTACACCTCCATGAACGTCAACATCGCGCGATCCACCGGCACCTCCGCGACGCAGCGGCGCAGCACGCGGGCGACGTTGCGCCGCGCTAACGCACGTGCATCGGCGGATTGCGCAAGCCGCCTGGAACGCGGCCAGGAGAGTGGCGTGTCGCGCGTCCCGGGCACATTCAGCGGCTCAATGGAGGAGCATAAACACAGGACGCCCTCGGCGCGGATCTTGGCGTGCGCAAGTGACTCGTGGTGGGCCACGTTGTCGCTCTCCGCCGCCTGCGGCAGGGCCGGGGCCACCACGGCGTCGTCCACAAAGTCCACAAAGCGGCGGGTGTTGGGATCCAGCAGGACGCCCCCCGACAAGACGCCGAAGGTGTTGAAAATGGGACAGTCTCTATCCACGTCGGCGGAGGCAGGCGTTGCGGCCGCGTCGTCAACGATTCGTGAGGCGTCGCCTAGCGTCGCCGTGCCTCGCGGCGGCGGATCCCGCCCCACGAAGATGTCGGAGGGCCGGAAGGAGGCGTCCGCGGTCTCCGTGCGGCAGAGGATGCCGTTCAGGAAGAAAAAGCGGTGGCGCGGTCTCGCCTCGGCGCACTCCTCCTGCAAAGGGACAACGACGTCAGCGACGGTCATCCCACCATGTCCTGCCAACGCCACAGCCTCCCTTGCAGGACTGCGCGCACATGCGTGTGAATTGTTTTGGTTATTGCGACAGGCGGCAGCGGGGGGGGGGCAAACGCAACAGAGGGCAAGGCAGCTGCAGACGCAGACAACGGCTGAGGAGGCCCCATAGGGAGGGGGAAAGCAACAACACACACGGCAACAAGAATAATAAGCGTCGCAGCAGGGAGAAGTGGGCAGGGATGGGTGGGCAGAGCCGATGAGGGGTAAATGACACATGCGAACATCAAACTGCAGGAGGGAAAAGTAACAAACAAACAAACAACAACAAAAAGGTTTCACCCACGCTGAACGTAAAATAAAGAGGGGTGACTGGAGTAGGTGGGCAACATCCACAATCGACGCGTACGAGCCGGTAGAACTATTCGGCAAGAAAATTGGATGCACCAGCAGCGTTACGTGCCGACGCCGATGGCCGAGCATTTAGCAGGCCGGCAAGGGAACTAAAACACATAAAAGTCCGCAGAAAACCCAAACCAAGACAGACTAAAGTGGTGGGCAAAAGAAAGAAAAGAAAAAGATATATATATATATAAATATAGATATAAATATAGATATATAGAGGGACATATAGAGGGCAAAAAGAGAAAAAGGGCGTCACCAGACGGTGTTTTGGGGATATGTAGTTCACAGACAGAGAGAGAGAGAGAGAGAGGCCA